TTGGTCTTGGTCAGCATGGTAGATTTTGAAAAGCTGTTGTTCACTGGCAGCTGAAGACGAGAAGGGGGAGGCTGAGTGGAGAAGCAGTGGAGACCTTCCTTGGGTTGAGGTACCAAAAGATTCCAACATCTTTAGACTGGAGAACATCTGGTGTGTCCCCCAGCCCCACCCACTCCCTAATCTTTATCTTACCAGCTGGAAACATAACATCACCCAGAGGGAGGCCCAGGCCCTAGAGCTGGCCCATCAATCTTACAGGAAGAAGGAGGCCAGAGAGCAGCAGGAGTGAGTCAGCCCACAGGGCAAGGGGGGTGTGGGGCCTCCTGACCCACCCCCACCTCATTGTTCCCTCTCTCGGACTCCAGAGCAGGGCCAGGCCCCAGATAAGCATCCCCTTCCACTCTGAGTTCAAAGAGGGGTCTTCACTGAACTCTTGGAGGTCAGCCCAAGCTTAAGGGAGAAGCCTGAGAGAAATGGGGGCAGAGTTCCTGGAAGGGGTTTGGGGGCCAGGGTTTCTAAGATTGATGGCTTAGTGTGCAGAGTCAAGGAGAGGGGGCAACAAAAGAGACTTCAGGAACTGGCTTCCCCACTTCTCCCTGCCACACTTCAGGGAGGCTATTTGTGAAACAGGGACCGGCCCAAGGCCAGTCCCTTGAAATCAGTTACCCCGTCTCTGAGGAAGCTGAGGAATCTATCAGATCATTCTGAAGAGTGAATATTCCCAAAGTAATCTCTTGGGGTTTTGGAATGCATTCTGGGACACTTGTAGATGCGGAAGGGTGGGATGTCTCCCACCAGAATTCTCTTTTGCTTTCTTTGTATTGAAGAAACTCTGTTCCTCAGTGGACAGATTAGGGTGGAGCTTTGAAAACTGAGATAACTGTGAGGCAGCTGTGTTGACTCCCTCCTCCCAGCCCCAGTCCCCCTTGGATTCCCAGTCTCTGTATTTACTCTCCCTGAGTGGGTCCCAGGCTAAGGCAGCCTGCCTGAGGCTTTCTCCTTTGCAGCTCTCTACCCAAGAAGCCCAGTGATGAAGATCTGCTAAAGGACTTACTGATCGGAAAGCTGCTGGGCTGGATGGTGGACCAGATGGAGCTCTGTAGACTCAGGTAGCAGCGTTTAGTGGCTTTGGGTGTCTAGTGTAGTGGTTATAAGCTTGAGCTTTGTGGTTAGACCCTGGTTCAGGTCTTCACCCCAACTCGTGCTGGCAAATTCTTAACTCTCTGAACCTTGGTGTTGTTATGAAAATCAGGGTTATTTAAACCACTTCATGGAGTTGTTGCGGGATTTAAATAAGATAACACAAAGAAAAGGCTGAGAGGAACATCTGTGGAATAATGAGTCCAGTAATGTTGGCAGCTATCATTACTGCTTGCACTTCTTTCTCACCTTCCTCCAGGTGAGATGCTGCTTTCACCTCCCCTGCCCACCTGAACTGAGCTGCCCAATCTAGTCTCAGTTTTCCCTCCATACCCTTGTGCCATGGCGCCTTCCCAGTGATGGAACCCCTATAGTTGAAGGCATGTTGCCCTCCTCCATAGCTGCTGCTGGTCTCAGTGGTCCTTGAATTCACCTCACCAGCTAGGAAGTCCTTCAGTTTGTTATGTCCAAGAAACAAGATATGGCTAAATACCATGGAGAGATGCATCCACTTACAGGGTGAGACAGGACACTCATTCAGAATGCAGACACTGAGGCACAGAAACCAAAATACATTTAGACTTTCATGCTGAGAAGCTAGGGAAGGACTGAGGGAACAAATCTGGAAAGGCTTCCTGTAGGAGGGTAAGAAGGGAGAAAGGAATGTGCCCAGAACAATAGAGAAGAGAGTATGAGAAAATCTCCGTAGGAGAGTGGGTAACAGTCTCTGTGCTTTTCTGAATCATTTTGATTACTTATCATTAAAAAGGTAATTTGGAGGTAGGAGTCGTTTAACTATGGCTGGGTGCCAGGATAAATATACTTTGCTGACTCCAAGCTGATAATGACCCTCTTCTCCACCACTTCCCCTCCTCTCTCTACTCTCCACAGGTTTCAGTGACTTGACTACACTCAGCTCAGGATGGGACTCTGCCCTTCATTTACTCAGCTCCTGCCTCAGCCCCACTCCTGGGTACCCTGGAGAAGCCAAACCAATACATTTTAAGCTGAAATAAATCTTTGTGTCCATTGTCAAAACGTATTCAGCTGTCTACGGAGCACTAACAGTGTACGTCTGTGTGTGTGCCACCTACTGAAAAGGAGATATGACTCTTACCCATCTGTTAATTCATCTATTTATTCTACACTTATTGGACACTTAACATAAGCAGGGCCTGTGCTAAACACTGGATATACAGCACTGAAGGAAACTGAGGGGTTTACAGTCTAGTGAGGAAAACAGACTTTAATTTTTAAAGACACAAACACATTAATAATCACATAACATGCTAACTTATGTGAAGAAAGATGGAGGTGCTATGCAGACAGAGAAACCTTATCTAGATGGAGTGGGAAGTCAGGAGGGCCTCTCTGAGAAAATGATATTTAAGCTGAATAAGGTTTGAAGGATAAAATGGCCAAAGGATAAAATGGCCAAAGAATCAGAGGAGAGTTAATTAATATTAGCTAGTGTTTTTACTATACAGCCAAATGGGCAATGGAGAGAATAGCACAAGTAGAGGCTAGACAGGTGGGCAGAACCAGGGCCATAAAGGCCCTGTTAAAGCTTTTGAATTTTATCCTGAGTGCGAGGGTAAGCCGCAAAGGATTTTAAGCAAGGGCAGGTCAGAGAAGACCTGGTTGCATTCCCAAACAATCACACTGATGAGAGTAAGAATTATATTGAGATGAATAGGGATAAAAGTGGGAGAGGAAGACTGGGTAAGGAGCTCTTGCAGGAGTCCAGGTTCCCACTAGGGTGATGGTAATGGGGATGAAAGGAAGTGTGCAAACTCAATTTGTCCAAAAGTTAATACCTTTATTGTCCAGTGTTCAGAGCCTTCCCCATCTCAGTCTGCTGCCTCCTCCCAATGCCCCGCCTTCCCAGAAGTACCTCTTCCCTCGATTTTGGCTTATCTTTGCCTGTAATGTCCTTCCCTCCACTTTTGTTCTAGTCATTTTTTAGTAGACTAGAGTCAAACACACCTAGATTCAAACAACTTAATAGGTCCGTGAATTGGCAAGTTAGTTCCTCTCTCTGAAGCTCAGTTTCCTGTCTGTAAAAAGAAGATTATAAAAAGTACCCACCTTGTAGGATTGAAATAAGCATTAAAATAATGCCTGGCACAAAGTAAGTGATCAATAAAAGTTAACTTTTATTATTATTATTCACACGAGTAAACCTCTATTTAAAAATACAAGGGTATTAGTTTTAAGGTCGGAGAGTGGCAAGCTGGATGGCTGAAGCACTGGGTCCTTCACAAATGAGCAAAGCAGAGAGGACGTAAGACAAGGGGAAGGATGGGGGACCAGAAGAGACATGCTCACCTAAAAACATTATGGTGACCAAACTAAACTCTTTTGAGAGCTGAATTTGCCTGAGGGCTGCCAGTTTGCAATCTCTTCCAGCTCTGACATATTTGGTTTCCTCTCATCTAAACTCCTGGAGTTCTGAGAGTGTGTCTCTCGCAATTTAGAGCATGCCTTTGATCAGAGGATGTATTACTGATTCTCCATGATAGAACTGATTGTCTTGGGAAGAAGTTTGGATCTATATTTCTGGAGTCTTGGGTGTCTCTGGGAGTCAGTGAATCGGAAAGGGTTATTTTAAAAAAAATTTGTACAAATGTTTTTACTATGGGGCAGGCATCGTGCTCAGTTGTTTACAAACATTTTTTTCAACAAATAAGTGTCCTTATTCTTTTTTTTTTATTTTAGTTGTTCAAATTTATAAACATCATTAAAAGTCATGGTAATCGAATTTAAAGCTTCATGGCACCCCTTTAAGATGATAACATAATAGCTGTTAACCATGCACTACACTGCCTCCGTGAGGCAGAGAATTAAAAGCCCATGCTCTTAGCCACCTTGCCACAAGACCAATGAGTCACTTAAAACAAGTGAGGGTATCTGTGATAATCAGTGTTCAGTGGTGTACTGGAGCAGAGTGCTTCTGAGAGCCATTGTTAAATTGTCAGGAATTCTGTAAGTGCATTGTAAAACCATTGATAGCTTGAAATTGGCCATGGTCAGAGTATTTATACCATGGAAATTGGCAAATGCTATAAATCAGAGCACTTCACTCCGAACCTGGAGAGACGGTTTTTAAACATTAACCAGCATATCACTGGTCAGCATACTTTCTCTAAAACTATAAAGGAGAACAAATGTGTCTGAATAATGGAATGAGCATGTCTGCTTGAGGGTGACACCGAGGTTTGTCAAGGGCCAATGTGTATACCTAAGGGAGTGAGTATGTACGTGTGCATTTGAGGGTATGAATATTTAAATCTGAAGTCATGAATGTGAGTGAGGGATCAGTGTGTGTACCTTAAGTGGTCATATAGTGTGAGTCAAAAAGTGAGAAATGAAGATGTGTCTAGATAGTATCAGTGAGTATCTAAAGGGTCAAGTTTTTGTGTCAGGGAGTGGTGTATTAGAAAAATGAGGACATGAGGTCAGTGTGTCAGTATGGGGCTAGTGTGTTTTTCACAGAAAGGGGTAGGTAGGTATATTGGAGCAAGTCAGTTCTAAAAAGGCTAGTTTGTGTTGGGGGGGGACAAATCTGTGTCTGAGAAAGTTTGTGTCTAAGGCAGCTTATGCTATGTGAGCTCAGTGTCTGACAGCATGTATGAGAATGAATCTGAAGGTAAGACTATGACTGTATTGTTTCAAATGACAAAAACACAAAACAACAGTGATTTTATAAAGATAGAACAAAGATTTCTCTTTCTCATAAACATCCAGTGGCAGGAGGCCCAGGGATGGTGTAACAGCTCTGCTCCACAAAATCCTCAGGGACCCAGGTTCATAGGGCTCATGGCTCTATCATCCCTTAAGGCCCCAAATAGCAGCTAAACATCATGCCACCAATCTCTGCTCCCATCCTCTTATCCTTTTCCTTTTCCCTCGATCTGCAGCCTAGCTCAGCTTTTTCTGTAAACTTCATCATGGTACATGCAATGACTATTGGCTCTCTCTCCTGTGATGACCTACAGACCTCGATTTCCACATTTTCAAAACTATTCTTATTTTCCCAACTTCATGCTGTGGTTCCCCCCTCCCCCAATGGCACCACACTGTTGCCCAAGCCAGAAAATTGAGCATCAATCATGCTGACTTTCCCACTCAGTCTGCCCGTCTTATTAGTTTTACCATTCTACCTTCTTAATATCTCCTCAATTTGTCCCATTCTCTTTGTCCTTACTGCCACTATCTTAGTTCTAATTCTCATTTCTAGTTTAGATTGCTTAAACTGACTTAAGTCAAGGTTGCCACTAATTTTTCTAAAACAAAAATTTGATCTTATTACTCGCTGACTTAAGAATTCTCTATTAGCTCCTTTTTTGACTCAGTAATGCTACTGAAATCACCTAAACACACAGATGACTAATACTACCCCAGACTTTATAACAATCACAGCTGATATATACTTATGTGCCAGACATTGCACTAAATACTTTGACATTTTCTGACTTAATCCTCACAACTGTGGAAACTGGAACAAATGAGATTAAGGAATTTGCCTGAAATTACTGGACCATATGTAGGGGAAGTGAGCTATAGAACCAATCTAACTCCAGAGTGCCAGTTCTTAACTGTAAGGCCTTCACCAATCAGAATCTCCGCGTGTGGCTCTAACAGGTAAGCTCCATTAGTGTAGAATGGATTCTGGTTTGTGCTCTGTATTGAACACTGGGTGCCCAACTCCGCGCCTGCCACGAAGTTGGCGGCCAATGAGCATTGCTGGCTGGGGTAGCGGTGGAGTGGCAGTGGTGGAAAGACGAGAGAGTCCGAGGCATCCACGTTAGTGGGGAGCGAGGAGCCGCACAAAGGTGGCTGGGGACCGGCGTCCCAAACCCGCGCTTTCCCCGCCGCCCAGTTTCGCGGAGCTTGGCCACCAGCGAAAAGAGAAACCCGAGCCCCTGGCGGTGGGAGACTAGCAGCCCCGCGGCAGGAAGTCGGAGCTTAGCTTCCGGCGCGCGCAGATGACGCACGAGCCGCGCTTCCGCGTTGGAGAGTCGGCGGCAGATCTCGGGACGTAGAGACCCGGGGTCCCGGCAGCGGGGCGGCCCGCGGGCCCACGGCGGGGATGCACCGCCGCGGGGTGGGAGCCGGCGCCATCGCCAAGAAGAAGCTTGCCGAGGTGAGGGGAAGAAGGCGGACCCACAGCCAACACTGACCTGCAGGAGACTTAAGTCTCTGAAGCAGATCTCTGTACCCTCAAATCGCATCCCAACAGAGTCTGACGGGCTTCTCGGGGCCCCCAAGAACGGAGTTTCTCCACCTTCCGGTGGATTGGAATGCCAGCATCCCCAGATCCACCAGCCCTTTCCCACACTTCTCCAAATTTGACTACAGACGAGTCGTCCATTCTACTTCCTCATCTTCATCCCTTTTCCTAAGGAAAACCAGAGAGACCCTCCTCTTTTTCATACTTCAGCTGAGGCAGTACAAGTGGGAGCCCCCAGCGCCCACTCTCTTAACTCATGCTGGTCTCTTTGTCTGACAGGCCAAGTATAAGGAGCGAGGGACTGTCTTGGCAGAGGACCAGCTGGCCCAGGTGAGTCGGTTAGAAGGCTCGAGGAATGAAGGGAGAACGCACAAGGCTGGACAAGACGGCTTTAATATCAATTAGATTGTTTGGATTGAACCAAAAATAGAATATTTGGCAAATCTTGATTTCTGGGCTGCTCAGATCTTTTAGGTGACTTGCTTATAGCGGCCCAGACAGGTATCCATTTTGTTTACATAGACTGCCTTGTTCATTCCTCCTGACAATCCTATCAGGAAGGAACACTCTTCTTCCTAGTTTAAAATTGAGGACCCTGAGGTGGTAAGTAATTTATACAAAGTTACATGGATAGTAAGTGGTAGAGCTGTTTGATTTAGGTCTTTTGGAGTTTTTACTTTATATACCTAAGAATAACATTAAACTATTGCCTAACCTGTGGCACCCACCACCACCAATATCACATTTAGGCGCATACCAGAAGTGTGTGTAAGTGATGGGGGTGTGGCTCCTGAACAAGTTCCTTCTCTAGCACTTCCCTTTTCTGTGCATACCCTGAGTTTACTTAGTTATTGTGACTGGTGAAGAAGAGAAAGCAGTTAAGTAGTGAGATGGACCCTTGAAATGAGGGAAGATAGTAGACACAGGCTGTGCTTTTCAAAAGCTCCCACTCATAGGGGAGATGATATGCAAGAAACAACTGGAAATGGTGACTATAATAATGTATAAGTTTCTAATACTTAGCAAATAAGATATTGGGACAAAAATATTACTTTTGGTGGGGTAGAAGGTAAGCTTTGTGAGGAGTAATACAAATAAAAGAAAGTCCCCAAACCATTTGTATTTAGCTTTGGAATGTAATCTGGTAGACCCACAGCCCTCCTTCAGGGATTCTTTATTTGCAGTCAGTCTCCAAGGAGGTCCATGACTCAGATTAAACAAGCATTGCACACCTAATTCATGCCAGGCTTTCTTTTTCTCCTATCTAGCCTTTTCTGTCAGTGGCTGAAGATTTCCCATTGCGTGAATGCTGCATTCCTTCATTTTTAAGACAAAATGGATCATGAGGTGCACCTTCAATTTAATAACAGTTTTTCTGGGATAAAGCAAAGAAGCCCCACCTTAGATATGCACGTTGATTGTTAGATGCATCCTGGCTTTAGAACAGGAACATGTGAAAAAACACGTATTTTAGAACTGAGGAAACATTACAGCATCTCATTTCTGCTGACAACAGAACTGTGAAGGAGAGGCAGGTGTCAAAAGAACAAGAACAGAAAATAGCACACTGGTAGGCCTGAGGGGATGGGTTATTTCAGCCTTTGCCTTGCCACTGGGCCTATTTTTGACATCTGATTATCACCTAGCTGGGCTGCCCCTAACTTCCCCCTTGTCCATCCTACAGATGTCGAAGCAGTTGGACATGTTCAAGACCAACCTGGAGGAATTTGCCAGCAAGCACAAGCAAGAGATCCGAAAGAATCCTGAGTTCCGAGTGCAGTTCCAGGACATGTGTGCCACCATTGGGGTGGATCCTCTGGCCTGTAAGGAGTTGTCTGTAGGGGTCCAGTGTGTTCTCCTAGGATTCCAAAGGGACAGAAGCCACCTACTTGTTACCACTGTTGGTGGGGCATCTTCTAGAAGGGCATGTGGGGGGATATAGAGAGTGTTGTCTTTAGGGAGGGCCTAGCAGGACAGCTGAGTGCCCAGTTTGGTAGAGAAGATGGAGAGGCTGGCGTGCAGGCTGAGGAGCCAGTGTATGTGTTCTTCCCTTGAATGAACTACAGTAGAATTTCATATAGCTATTTTTTCCCCTTATTAAAAAAATAATTTAGTTTTAATAAAAGTAGTGTGTGATTACACAATCATTATAGAAGAGAAAAAGGGAAAGGAGAAAGTAGTAGTCTTCTGACCCTGTTTCATAATTACAGAGGTAAAGTACTGTTAACAGTTTAAGGTATGTTTTTCTCGACACCTTTATTATATTGATAAACTTTTTTTTACATATATGGATTATGTTATAATCAACTCTATAACCTGCATTTTTCACTCAATAAAACAATGTGTCCAATGGATTTTTGAATGCTCAAGGTCTGCATATTTTTTCTCTTAGCCTTGTCTAGACCATATGTCCCATTATATTTCACTGTATGCTTTGAGAAAGGAAAACTCACTTTTATAGTATCCCAAGCCAGGATTAGCAGCCAAGTAGAAATACCTTTTAGATTGCGCACCCTTTAGAACTGAGCCTGTTCTTAGCAGGAATTACCAAGAATCAGATTGTGTTGAGGATCCTTAGTAATGAATGGAACAGAAGGACTTAAGGCTAGGCAGGGAAGACTTCCCATGGGATAGATGTTTTAATCTAGCTTTGAAAGAAAAGATGTAACTAATGAATAACCTAGCTTTTGTTTTTCTGTTTTTTAGCTGGAAAAGGATTTTGGTCTGAGATGTTAGGCGTGGGAGACTTCTATTATGAGCTGGGCGTCCAGATCATTGAAGTGTGCCTGGCCCTGAAGCACCGGAATGGAGGTAAGATGGCTAGGTCCTGTGGCTTGGGCTTTGGACTTCTCTAAGAGGCAGAAAAACCTTGAAAGATATTTCCCGTCCTGCAGTCTACCTGCCAGTAAAGGTCTTGAGAAGCATCTTAGCTGTTTCATGCAGTTGAATCCATAGTAGGTTTCCAGGCCAAGGGTAAATGGAATTACCTGAATGATTGTCTCTATTCTCCAAAGATCTTTGGCCAGGAAGGTCTAGCCCCTAGTCATTGCAGAAAATAGTAAGGAGGTAGGAAATATGGTACAGCGATGCCAGCTGAGTTTCTGTGCTCTCCAAAATGTGACCTTAAGAATGGTTATCCAGTGATGTCATCTTAAGCACATCACATGGTCTGTGTTGAAGAAGGGAGGGAGGAAGGAAGGAAAGGGAAGAAAGAAAATCTAAAACCAGTTATAAATCATTGACTATAAATAGACATAGTCTTGATGTCTAAAGAGCATTTATAGTTTTTCAAAAATGATACTGCCTTTGGAATTTTTTTGGTTGGTTGGGTTTTTTAGCCATAAAGGTAATCCTTCTGTTTTCTGTCCCACCTCTACAATAGGTCTGATAACTCTGGAGGAACTACATCAACAGGTGCTAAAAGGAAGGGGCAAATTCGCCCAGGATGTTAGCCAGTAGGTCTTGCCTTCCAACCCCTTGAAGTATAGGAAGGTCTTCGGATGGGTATCTTTTCTCCCTACTGCTTGTATGTCTAGGATAATTCAGGAATCATTTTTATTCCTCTTTATGATCAGAAAAAAGTTTTTATTTTAGAAAACCGAAAATACATAGAGACATAAAAAAACAAAAACTGTCCATTATTTCTCAACTAAGAGATTGCAACTGTTAAACATTTTGCTATATTTTCTTCTAAGTATTTTTTCATGCATGCTTTTTTTTTTTTTTTAACATTCTTGGGGTTTTGTATACTGTTGAGATTATTTGAGGTCAAGGAGAGTAGAGTAGGGACTGAGAGAGGCTGGGGAAGGGAGCTGGGGTATAAATTGACCTGGTTCATGAGCCTATTTGTGACTCCAGTTGGAGAAAAGATAAAAAAATGTTGTCACTATGTGGGCTGCATATGTGGTCTACACATTGATTTATAGGTTTTCTTTTTCCCTAATTTTAGTTAGTTATCAACTAAGGAATCAGAAAATCTGGCAGTACTGGGCCTGAATTTCCAAATGGCAATAATCAGCTTCAGGCTGTCCACTTTAAAATGGGATAAGCATTTTCTATTTTGCCATAGTTCACACTACTGTCTGTTGTCTCTTATGTTCAGCTCATTCATCCACATTTCCCAATGGGTTCCTGTAGGCATATTTTTTATCTCTGTCCAATGTTGGAATGGTTTGCTGAGTGGAGAGAGAGTCTGACTGTCTCCCTTGAATATCCAAACATCATTTGGTGTCCTTTAACCCTACATTTTTACTGTTGTAGTTAACTGTTGTGCAGACTTTTGAGTCTTCTGTCAGGGTATCCTGCCCAGGGCAGAGCTGAAACTGAGTTATTGCTAGGTGTGGTCTGCAGGGTTCTTTAAGCAGCAATTCCTCATCGCAGAGACGACCTGATCAGGGCCATTAAGAAACTAAAGGCACTTGGCACTGGCTTCGGCATCATCCCTGTGGGCGGCACTTACCTCATTCAGTCTGTTCCAGCTGAGCTCAATATGGATCACACTGTGGTGCTGCAGCTGGCAGAGGTACTGGTGTGCCTTCTGAGAGTGAGTGAGTGTGTGCGCACATGTAAGGGACAATGTGGGAGGGGATTCTGGAGCACCTCTGATCTCCTCCCCATCACTCAGATCTTTTTGCTGGAACTGTCTAATGGATGCACTACTCGGACCTGTGCTTATTTTGCAGACATTTATTGATCAGCTACAGTGCAAAGCACTGGACTAGGCTGTGGGCCCTATAAAGATGGGTACCATATAGTTCCTGCTCTCAAGGAGCTTACAGTCTAGTGGTGTCGACAGGCATGCAGACAGACAACTATTCCCTTGGTTAGACAGATTCTTGGATGTCTTCTTAAAGTTACTTTGTAGATTCTTTAAAACAAATGTTAAAAAAATGTTTAATCTTGTTTGCCATCCCCCCTGTTCCTCAGAATGCCTTAAGCATATACCATCTTCCCCTAAATCTTTACCATGTATTTAGGGAAGATATGTTCAGTTTTCTTAATTTTGTAATGTAGGACAAAACTAAATGAAGGGCTTATCTTGATTGGAGGAATAGTTAGGATAAGGCAGGGCAAGGGCTGAATATTTAAATATTTTAGATTATGAACAGTTAATGATTATCACTTCCTATCAATCCTTCTGAGTCTTCCCTTGTCACACTCTATAGGGGTCTATGAGAAAGTCTAAATTTTTTAGTGCCAGGGGCCTGAACCCCTCAACCTACCCCTTATCACCCTGAAAGTCATCCTTACCTCCCTCCCTCTCCCTTTCTTTCTCTCTGCTGGAACCTCTAAACATTCTTTTTCTATGCTCTTGGGCTTTCTTTGCCCAAGGGCAGCACCTCTTCCTGTCTGGATAAATCAGTTGTCCCTGGGCAGATGTTGGGTTCAAAGGGAAGCCACACTCTTAACTGACTCAATCCCCATTCCTCCTTCCTTCAGAAAAATGGCTACGTGACTGTCAGTGATATCAAAGCCAGACTTAAATGGGAGACAGAGCGAGCACGGCAAGTGCTGGTATGTGACATTTGAAATGGCCCAGAAAAGATAGGCCCCAGATGGGAAGAGGTGAGTGGGTGGAAACCACACAGGCAGGAGCTTCAGCTTGTTCTGCTGCCCTCTTGTCCTGAAGGCTACTGCTGCCACAGTAGAAGTAACCCCAGCATTTCTCTGAAGATGGCACTGAGGTAGAACTCACAAAGGCAGGCTTCTAACCTTGACACACATGTAAATCCAGGCTGTCACTGCTACAGGGGGATCGCCAGCTGCTCTCCTAACCTGTAGAGCCTGGTCAGATGGCTAACATCGTTTGTACTGGAAGTAACAGTTCAGAGTGGAAGACATTAACTAGTTATGGTAATTACATATCTATAGAGTATTATATATAGTTATAATTTTATACATACAAATTTCATGGTACTAATGAAAGACTAATGTTGTGAATAGTAGCATGGAAATGTAGGGTTTTAATACCGTCTTCCTTATCCAGTCAACCTATAGACTCACTTTCATCTGTGGAGTTGGGGTAACATACACATCTGTTTAATGATACTGAGCAGAACCAACCCATCTCGAGCCTATTTCCAGCTGTAGGAACTAATTAAGTCCTTTCTAATACTAATATGGTCCTTCTATTAACTTCTCCAAAAATATTTATCTGCATCTGCCTGTTCCCCAGTAAGTTAACTGAAAGGTAGTGATCTCCATTTTGTTTCAGTGAAGGGAGTCAGTGATTTGCTCAAGGCCAAACAGCAAATACTTCTGTAGCCCTACGTTCTTTCCACAACATCCAACTTTGTTTTTACCCTCTTTTCCAGCAGCACAGGTTAAGTGACTTGGTGGCATTTTTCACACCTCAGGCAAAGGTCAAGGCCAGATCATTCTAGTTTGGTTGAAATGTGTGAAGGCACTCATGTAGTAGTTCGAAGACCCCATTGAAGCCAAAATAGGTTTGGGGATTATTTATCTACTTTGTCTGTGTAAACTCCTTTCTCATGGCTCCTCCTGCCTTTTCCCTCCAGGAACACCTGCTGAAGGAAGGGCTGGCCTGGCTGGACTTGCAGGCCCCAGGGGAAGCCCACTACTGGCTGCCAGCTCTCTTCACTGACCTCTACTCCCAGGAGATTACAGCTGAGGAGGCCAGAGAGGCCCTCCCCTGACTCTAGGAGTGTGGAAGTGGGCACAGCAGGCAGAGAGAAGAGGGAGGAGCTGTTCAATAAA